CAAGTGACTGCCCTCAACCCCCTAGACTGCCTACAGTCCCCCTGGCTCACGGATTTCCCGAAGTACGCAAAGATGCCAGGCGAGCAAAGCGCCGCGCCGCCGCGTGGTCCCCCCCCCCAACTAAGTTAGCATCTGAAATAGTGCAATAACAAGCAAAATGTGCTTTGTTCCCGGTAAAATGGGACGCTGTAAATCCATACTAAGTAAGACATATGGCCAAAGACACAATAAAGAGCGCGAGAAACAAAGAGGATAACGGTAGGTGCACAGCCGATCCTGTAACCACAACACACCAAGTTTGGGGAAATAAAATGTGCATTTGGTACCTGCAACGAAACGTCGAAACTGCCGCTGACGATCCACGCCTTTCAGCAGCAAATTCCGGTAGAAGTCTCGCAGTGCAAAGTTCAATGCATGACTTGGAAAGCATCTCATCACACCCGCGCAGTTTCCTCTCCATAACGATAGAAAACCCTGAGAGCAATAAAAAAATAATTGAAATATCCGACTTCAAGTGAGTCTTCGTACCTGCTCCATGGATACCCGTCGAAGGCAATCTCGCATACCATTGTAAGGGCGAGCCACTGCTCTTCCATGATTTTCGAGCTGCAAAATAAGAGTTCCAGACAGAGTTACAGGCAAAACTCGTCGCCCTAGGCGGATGCTAAACACACTCCTCTCGCTTTGTAGGCGGCTGCGCTACAGATTACAGTTGAGTATTGTTTCATTTTACCTCTCAAACATTGGTGAAAAAGAGCTTGACAACTTCAAAAAAAACATGTCAAAAATGTAAAGTAAAGTTTTTAACTTAAAAGCTTAGAGTTTCTTGCTTGTACGTCCCATATATAGTGTAAGATATTCGATCCAACGACTGCTGAAGATAGTGTAACTAATTCATACTTATCGATAGAAATTGCTAATGCAACTAATACAAATGTTTGGAAGAAGATGCAACATTATTTTTGCAACACCGCTGGACTGAGATGAGTGGCCGATGTCAGACTCTGCGATTGGAGCGATTCACATTACTCCCATCATGACCAAATCGCTCCAATCGCGCGATTGGAGCGATTGGTCATGATGGGAGTCATGTCAATCGCGCGATCGTCGCGCGAATCGCGCGATTCACATTTGACCGAATCGCTCCAATCGCAGAGTCTGACATCGGCCATTACGCCTGTGTCAGACTTTGCCG